CATATATGAAAGCGGGAACACTGTACAGAACGAGTCACTGCAGGAAAAAAGGGTTTCAGGAAGTACATTTTAGAAGCAGTACTGACCATGTGCTGTGATGTGGGAGATGCAGCGTTCGATGGCTTGTGGTACTGAACCTCGACCACTTATATCTAGAGACGGGTACAGAGGCTGTCGAGCTGCGCTCCGACTCGGAGCAGGGCGCCGGTTTGAGTCTGGTCTTTGATTGATTAAAGCTCTTTGCAGGTGGTTGAACCAGGACTGGCAGCTGTGGGTTTCCTTAAAATGCAGCGACAACAAGCTCCTGGAGACACAAACGAGAACCTGCACCTGTGATATCATCTGAACCCACTCCAGTCCATAAACTGAGGTATTACAGCTGGTCCTTACTTAACAACAGAGTTATGTTGCGAAACCCTGTTGTTAAGCGATTTCATCGGTAAACAAAATACCCCTGGCTGACATTATGTGTGGTCGCGAAAAAAACTGTTTATATTCGCAACAACGTACTGTATAGGCCATTTATGCAGTACTATTTTACCTTTTCTCTTTCTTTACTTTTTAACTTTTGGATTACATCATATACAGGTACTGTAAAAAAAAAAAAAAAACACAAACTTGGTAACGATATGATAAGCATAAAAAGAAGGGAGTTAGCCCCGGAGCTAATGTTAGCTTTAGCCCTGGAGCAGATCACTAAGTCCGCCCTGTGCATTCCAAATGTGGTGCAAATACTGCGTAGAAGCAGGAAAGAGTCGCGTTACAGGCACTTTTTTCGGAAAACGACATTTATTTAACTAAAAGTGAAAACTTTCTTTGTAAATATCCCACGTTACAAGGTGGACACCTGCGGCTTATAGAGAGGTGCGGCCTATGTATGTAGAATTATTATCTTTCTTTTTGAATTTAGTGGGTGCGACTTATATTCAGGGCGTGCTCAACAGTCAACAGGAAATGACAGTATGTCGAGATTGATGGCTTTCCTTTGCTTCTTAATAGCAGATCCAGCCGGAGATTTTTTGTAGTTTTACGTTTTTCAGGCGTCACGAGGGTTAAAATAGTTAGTGTGAAACGGCGTGAGAGAATCATAACTGAGGGGAATGAGTCGGTGAGATGGTGAGATACTGCTGTTGTGCTACATCTCAAATGTCGTAGGAGAGCCCATCGTAACACCAAGTCGTTGTTAAAGTAAGGTTAAACGCGTCGTTAAGCAAAGACCAGCTGTATAAACTGTGTGTGTTATACCTTTCCCTGGTTTCCAAAGTGATTGCGTTTTTAGATGCATCGATCTCTAAATGGAAAGGTGAAATAGAAAATGAAACATGGGATAATCCTGTTTGGATAGACGGCAAAACATAGATGTTGAATATGAAAGTTAAAAAAAAAAAAGTTTTACATAAGAGAGGTTTTAATGTGTAAATAAGTGACCTGGGCAGCAGTGGCTCAAAGACTTTGTCTGCGCAAGATCAAAAAAAAAAAAAAAAAGTATCGCTCCCGGTTTTCGTGGATCACATGACTCGGCTTACCGTGACGACGCACTGCTGTCAGTTCCATCTTCAGGATTGGCTGCAGGCCTCTCACGGCGGGGTAAATACTGATGCCGTCCTCCCACAGTAACAACCAAGATTCAGACTGACAGGAGGCGCTGTTTCCTTCCATGACACACACCTTACTCACAGCTGAGGCCCCACACACTTCAGCGTAAGACACGCCTCCTGGGAGAATCACCTGGAAACATGAATATAGCATAACATTACACTATTTGATTTTTGGTTTTCATTTCCGTCTTAGAAAAGAGTCTCTGACAACGTTTACGCTTAAACAAAAATTATTATTCGACACTTATATAAACACAATTTAAGGCTTGTACAAAATATTACAAAACAATCTCAAGGACTGAATTTACAATATTTAATTTATGTGTTTTGTTTGTTTGCTTTTTTAAAAAGTTTTTTTTTTCACCTTTTACCATAGTGCTCTATCGTAAAATATAATTTATGGCGGGACGTAAAGAAAGCTGTGTCCACCAGTGAATATGATGGGTAAAATTGCAAACTGCAATAAAAGAGTTGACCACATGATGGCAGCAGCACAGTTTAGATGCAGTATTTACCTCCCAGTAGTTTAAACGTCAGACTACATGGAGTTTGGATTGGATTATTTTCTTACGAATGTTGTCATTTAACGTAAAAATGTTGTAAAAATACAAAAAATTATATTATTAAATCATAGCTTTGGTCATCATAAAAAAACAGTTTTGTGTTTGTAGAAATCTACGGTTTTAAATACACACATTTTCATTTAGGGTACTATGTTTTGCAGTTCTGTTATGTTTCTGTTCATATGCATTAGAACTTTAAATGCCAATATTTAATGTTTTTTCTTTTATTTTTTTGTCACACTGTTTGGCTTTCAGGTACAAAAGGGTGAGCGATTTTTTGCAGGACTCACTGTTTGTTTGCATAACTGTACATGCATATAAAGAAATCAAATATGCTGTAATACTGTACAGTAATAATACTGTAAAATATTGCTTTGAGACATTTCTTGTAGTAGCTGTCAGTCCTGCATCAAATGGTGATTTCTGCATGGGATGTAGAAATATATTTAAGTTTGTTACACAGGGCCATATCATATCTGTCCCTCTTTGAAAAAAAATATTTGGACTGGCAACTTTGACCTCGAAGAACTGAGAATTTCTCCACCACTGCCCCCCAGAGTAAAAGTCGCTTGAGATTCGAGTATCTCACTGGGAGTAGGGATGGCTTGATCTGATACTCAGAGTCTTGGGTTTACCTTTAGAATGTGGACCATGTGAGATGTCAGGATGTCATCGTCTTCAGCATGACAAATGAGTTGATCCCCAAGTATCACCAACTCAAATTGATAATGCGATCTGATGAGGAATGAGTTGGAAAACAAAGGTTAGTCTGAGCTACTGTTGAATATATGTTTGACTATACATGCTATCCAGTACTCAGATGTGTAGATAGATAGATAGATAGATAGATAGATAGATGGATGGATGGATGGATAGATAGATGGATAGATAGATGGATGGATGGATAGATAGATAGATAGATGGACAGATAGATGGATGGATGGATAGATGGATGGATAGATAGATAGATAGATGGATGGATGGATGGATAGATAGATGGATAGATAGATGGATGGATGGATAGATAGATAGATGGATAGATAGATAGATGGATAGATAGATAGATGGATAGATAGATAGATAGATGGATAGATAGATAGATGGATAGATAGATAGATAGATGGATAGATAGATGGATAGATGGATGGATAGATAGATAGACTTAGGGCAAAAATTCATTTACGTAGGAACGGAACGCTAATGTATGTTGCGTTGTAACGTTTGCTTTACTTTTTTTTTATTTACTTTGGTCTTTGGTTTTATGTCAGTGTTTTATTGTAGTGTACAGCACTTTCTGTTTAACTCTGCTGTTTTGAAATATGCTTTACAAATTTACAAAAAAAAATTTCACGCATACAAACCCATTTAGACCTTCATTCTTCCTGAGCCGATGATAAACATTGAGGGGACTGATAACGAATCCAATCGTAAAAAACATCGGTGGGATTTAAGTTGTTAAATTCTTATGAACTCCTTCCATACGAACTTGAACAGAGTTGTGCAATAACTGACCCGTTCTGCGTGGTGAAGACGGACAGCACCTCCCGCAGGTCAAGCACGTCACATGCAGCCGAATCATTTTCTACCGAAAAGAGGAAACGGTCCTCCTCCAGTTTACCGTGAAGCTCCTCTTCCTCCTCATCCTCATCTGATGAGCACACACAAAAAGATTGTAATGCACTTTTCGGGGTCAACAAGTCGGACAAATATTTTCTCGTACCTAAAGTGGAGCAGCTTGCTCTCTTTTTGAATCGCTGCGTATGAGGTGGGACTTCTGGAAAAAAAAACAAACAAACAAACAAACAACTCAACAACACACACACAGTTGACCTAGTACTAGTTAGTGTACACATGTTGTACAGATACCAGATACTGCTTACAGTACAGGCAAAATATTGCAGGCAAAACATAAGTACTTGATTTGTGTATGAACATGCATGTGTGTGTGTGTTTGTGTGTTTTACCGGTGTACTCGTTTAATCGTAACAGTTCACTCTGAAGTGCTTGGCCTGCCTTTTCAGCGATGACGACGAGTGAGGGGGTTACAAATTTACAAAAAAAATGTTTTCACGCAAACAAACCCATTTAGACCTTCATTTTTCCCTGACCCAATGATAAATATCGAGGGGACTGATAACGAATCCAACCGTTAAAAACATCGGTGGGATTTAAGTTCAATTTAAATTCTTATGAACTCCTTCCATACGAACTTGAACAGAGTTGCGCAATAACTGACCCGTTCTGCGTGGTGAAGACGGACAGCACCTCCCGCAAGTCAAGCACGTCACATGCAGCCGAATCATTTTCTACCGAAAAGAGGAAACGGTCCTCCTCCAGTTTACCGTGAAGCTCCTCTTCCTCCTCATCCTCATCTGATGAGCACACACAAAAAGATTGTAATGCACTTTTCTGGGTCAACAAGTCGGACAAATGTTTTCTCGTACCTAAAGTGGAGCAGCTTGCTCTCTTTTTGAATCGCTGCGTATGAGGTGGGACTTCTGGAAAAAAAAACAAACAAACAAACAAACAACTCAACAACACACACACAGTTGACCTAGTACTAGTTAGTGTACACATGTTGTACAGATACCAGATACTGCTTACAGTACAGGCAAAATATTGCAGGCAAAACATAAGTACTTGATTTGTGTATGAACATGCATGTGTGTGTGTGTTTGTGTGTTTTACCGGTGTACTCGTTTAATCGTAACAGTTCACTCTGAAGTGCTTGGCCTGCCTTTTCAGCGATGACGACGAGTGAGGGGTTTTGAATTTCAAACTGGCGCACCTGAGGAGACACTGGTCATGAATGTGTGATGACAATAACAAAAGGTAGAACCATGAATTTTCTGACATAAGTTAAGGACCCCCTGTATATTGTTTGCAAAAAAAAGCCTGCTTCAACAACAGACAATATATTTTTTTTTTGCAGACACTTCATAATAAAACTTTAACCATTGTATGTACGTATGTATGAATATAATGACCTTAGCCCCAGAGCAGATCAAAGACATGGTCTCTTCAATGTCATCGCAGCAAACAATATCTCTCAACCTCTGGAAAACACATAAAAATATATGCATATGCATCTTATTCTTATCAGCTCAGAACAAGCCACACAAACAAATGCCAAAAGTGCATCACTTTGATTTGAATGACAACTTCAAACCTGGTCCATTAGGGACTGAGAAGCGGCAAGAGGGTGAACTCGTCTGTAGCGCCCTTTGCCATATTTGTACTGGATAAACTTTGACCTCTCCTCATCGGACGACTCCGGACAAAGTTGCTCTGCTGCTGGCACCGCTGCGGCCCAAATCTGATTGGCCAGGTGGTTCCCGTAGATGACAAACAGCTGTGCAACAGGTACAATGAATTAAAATCCCCAGCCAATGTATTACTGTTCATTTCTTTTATATTATAGGTAATATATATATCTTATATTATATATATATATAATATATAAATTTATATATAATTTATTATTTCATATATGTTTTCATATATATGCAACCAAATATATAAAAATAAAAATGTTTGCCCTGAAACTGGCAGCTCATGCCAACAACAAAAACGGACAGAATTCTGTGCTTTTATAGAACTTTGGTAAATAAATATAGATTTAAGGAAGATTCTTTTAAATATACATCTAAAAAACCTAACATTATCTGGAAAAACAAATTTATTCCAAAAAATTGTTCAGAATTGAACACGTTTTCAGTAAAAAAAAAAAAAGACTTACAAACAGATGCTGCAAGAGAAAAGTAGGTATTGGAATGATATGAGAGCTGTCGGCAAGTTGCGATATCGGACATGAAAAAGTTCCATTAAGCCCATTCATAAGTAAAATTTATGCAGTACCGACTTCTAGCTGAGGGAATCAACTCCAGGTAAACAAAGCTACTAGTCTTATTTTTTAATTGTATTTTTTTATTTTTTTTTTATGTTTTAATTTTTTTAGGTTGAAAATGTTTTTTATATCAAAATAATGAAAATATTATAAATTTGAAAGAATGATTTACCGTAAAATACCACAAAATTACTCTCGCAAGATTGGAATAATTTTTTTTTTAAACTTTTATTCTCTTGGTTGTACCTCGCTCAAGCACATGTGCTATAAGCCGCTAGTTTTTTTTTTTACACGCTTTGAACCCTGCGGCTTAAACAACGATGCGGCTAATATATGGACTTTTAGAAGCTAACGAAGTTCATACCGCTAGCGATCAATGACTTTTCTGGTAGGCTACTGTGTGTTATACTAGTAGCGTATGTCTGTCCGTCTGTGAATGGCTTATACGTGGGTGTGGTGCGCGAGACAGAACGGTTGTGAAAGTCGAAAGCAGTTTAAGCCCTGTCACGTTCAAGCGTCAGTTGGTTATACAGCTTATAGAGAAGTGTGGCCTATATATGTATGTACAATTATTTTTTTTAAATTTAGTGGGTGCAGCCTATATTCAGGTGCGCTCAATAGTCCGGGAATTACGGTAAGTATCCTGCTGCCTCTGCAAAATCGCGCCACCTCGCGCCATCAAGAAATTGTCGAGGGCTGACTATGTTGAAGATTGTTTACATAGCAGCTGTTGATATAAGGTTTGTATTAGATCACGCTGCTTTAACCTGGTATGAACAGCAATCACTGACGAATGTGCTGGCTTTAGCTTTAGCAACTCGGCTTAAGCTCACTTGCCTTCAGGGTAGAGTGCGGGTCAAAGAGAGACAGGGAAGACAGTATAAAACCAACTGCAGACACACAGGAGCTGTTTCTGCAGTTGTACTGTTTTATAATTTAATACAGCCTATCTGTGTCTTAGTCAAAGACTAAGGCTAGTAGTGTCTCGCTTAGCCGCTCACCTGCATCAGTGGTTCAGTCCACACGTTGTTATCCAGCTTCATACTTCGAACCTTGGACACGTTAGTGCCAAGAGCACGATGGTGACCTGTCAAAAGTCATCTTGTTAGTGATCGCTTCGACAACAACAGTGTCAGTTAGTTAGCGGATCGCTAACTAATATATCATTACATCATATCATACTGGGATGATGGAAAATTCAAACTGTGTTTTGTTTTTTTTAAAGCAACTAATGCCTAGTTTTAAAAGTTCAGACATGGATCTCTAGAACAGTTTTTTTTTTCCTGCCTTGTTCCCTCAGGGAAACAAACTCTAAGTTTCACTTATAGAATCGTTTTTAGTATCTTTTACAAAAAATCTTAGGCAATAGTAGCTTGGCGCTTTTTTTAAAAAATCTTAGGCAATAGTAGCTTGGCTTCTAATTTTGATTTTTTTTTTTTTTTTTTGACTTAATTTTTGAACAGAAGAGCATGCTCAATGCTCTGTTCAATCAACTCTAGGTAAACAAAGCTACTAGTCTTATTTTTTAATTTTTTTAATGTTTGAATTTTTTTAGGTTGAAAATGTTTTTTATATCAAAATAATGAAAATATTATAAATTTAAAAGAATTATTTACCGTAAAATACCACAAAATAACAAAACTCTTTAAACTTTTATTCTCTTGGTTGTTTCTATTTTAGAAGATTTTTTTGATGAACGATCAAAGCTCTTTACGCACATCCCTTTTAACATTGTTTATCCATCTGTCCATTATCTATTAACACTATCCTGTTGGAGGTCCTAACGGGAAGCTAAGCCAATCCCAGCAGTGATCAGCAATTTCATTCAATTTTTCCCTCGATCACCACCAGTTGATGTCTCTCATACCTGCACAGGCCTGACAGATGACCACAAGCAGGTTAACTGATGCCCACTCAGGATTGGCTGCATTGCAGTCACCGCACACTTTGTTACAAGGGTTTTCCAAAATCCGCATTGCTACCTTGCTGCAAGACAGGGCGTTTCGGATTGACAAAGACAGGCAATCTAACCACGACGACAGGTCCTTAGAAGAGTCAACAGACACGCTAGAAGAAAATAAGATAAGAAAAAGGTCATAAACACAAACACACACGCACACACGTACGTCATAAAACCTCAGACAAAAGCTCCTTGTTAGCTCGCAAAAAAAAAAGAAAAATCTACTCTCACATAGTCGCAATTACAGTGTGTACAATAGGTTCAGCTGCATTAAAAAAAAGTAATATCTGCTCCCCGATGTAACAAGAAAACAAAAAGAACATCAGATAAGAAGAGGTTTTTTTTTTTTCTGATTGACAGGTTTTAGCAAATACCAACACTGCAAAACAAACAGACAACAATTTTTTTTGTCTTGGGTAAGAAACGCTGGCTTCGTGGCTGACTGCTACCTGAAGGTCTTGTAAGGCGTAATCAGGCTAAAGGTGTGTTTTCCTGTCGCCTTCACCGATGCCACATTCAGAGGAACAGAGAAAGAGGCCAAGCCCAACTGAAATCCTTCCTTGTTGGGATAAATCCAGAGGTCATAACCCCAGACGGCGGCATATGCTCGACTCCTGATATCTTTCATGCTGATCTGCCCGTGCAGAGTAGGTGGGTCGGGGCTTTGCTGACTACGTGAGGCCAGCAGTGATTCAACCCAACCGTCCCTGATATCTGTGAGATGGAAATACAGATGTTAGTGAAGGTTTCTGAAAATACTATTGAGCTAAACGCTACCAAACCTAGAAGATGGTGTAAAACTCTGTATTATGTAAGGCAGTCTTTGGAAGAGACTGTCAATGATTAATGGACCAGTGTCACACTACTGCAGGCATTGGTTGATGGATGTGGCTCTCTCTGTGTCTCTCAGTGTTTCTCTCTCTCTCTCTCTCTCTCTGCTTGTCTGTTGTCATATTTTACCAATATATAACATTTGATCCCTGTTATCAATTGAGTCCAAACTCTAGATGTGTACACTAAGACCTACGTAATTTACCTACGTAACTACCGTAATTTCCGGACTATTGAACGCACCTGAATATAGGCCTCACTTCTCTGTAAGCCGCAGGTTTCCACGTTGTAACATGGACATTTTACACAGAAAGAAAATTAATTTATGGTAACATGGAAATTTTACACAGAAAGAAAATTAATTTATCCATCCATTTTCAGCCGCTTATTCGTTACCGGGTTGCGGGGGCAGCAGTCGCCACCCAAATCACACTGCACCGTACCACCCCCCCAAACCTTCCTGTGGGTGGTGAGTCCACTGGAAGGTACCAACCACCCTAACTGGGATTCGAACTTGCCCAGGAGGTGAACCCTGGGGTTCCACACCAATGACAGAGACATTGCCTCTGGGCCAAAGCGCCACAAATTAATTTATTAATTAATTTATTTGATCAAATAAATGTTTTTTCTGAGCAGTGCCTGTAACACGGCTGGTTATACGTTAGCTCTTTCCTGCTTCGGCGCCCCAACCGCAGTTGGAATGCACAGGGGAGACTATGTGATCTGTTCCAGGTCTGAAGCTAACATTAGCTCTGCGGCTAACTCCATTCACTTTGTGTTTGACCGCAGCAGAGGTAAACAGAAACAGTGAAGTTGGGGTCTTCATTATCAACCACTCCGACCACAACAGAACATAAACAGCTCCTGTATAACCAACTCACTCTTCAACATGACAGGGCTCAAACCGCTCTCACTCTCTCGCACGCCCCACGCACATATTCGCACACAGCCATTCACAGACAGACATACGCTACTAGTACAACACACAGTAGCCTACCAGAAAAGTCATTGATCGCTAGCGGTATGAACTTCATTAGCCCATAAAAATCCTTAAATTAGCCGCATCATTGTTTAAGCCGCATGGTTCAAAGTGTGTGAAAAAAAAATAGCGGCTTATAGACCAGAAATTACGGTACATGAAATGAATGTTACAATTTTTATTTAGTAACCTAGAAGAAAAGTAAAAATAAAAAATACCGTCAGAATGAGCCATGAAGTCAAAACGCTTCTTCCTGAAATATACAGTGAATTTTCCCCTGTCATGTTTCTTCACATTAGTGATGGAGGAGACGTGAAAGGTCAATTCACTAAACCGATCCTGTAAACAGAACAAAACAAACACAATTGGTTTGACAGAGAGAGTGGGTTTGTTTCACAGTGAGAGAGATAACGTGATGAATTCAGGCAACTGGAATGAGAACCATTGGTATGCAGAGATAAACAATGGTGTTGCGATGAAAACCACTGATATGCGAAAAGACAAGTGGGTGTGCGTAAAAAAAGACAGACGAAAATCTCTACAGACTTAATCGGATAAACGTCCGACATAGTGGTAGCAATATGTCGGTAGAACAGAAGAAGCTAGCGTTACTTATTGGCCCAGTTATTTAAGAATAAATGCTTGTCTACTACCCTTTCCATAAAATAAAGAAATCACTGCTGTTGCCCTCACTCAAAGAGAAGAGTTAACTACTGCAGTGGCCGACAGACAAGGGGAGATGCTACGACGCGTGAGCAAATCAGTGTGAGGAACAGAAAAGCATGCTCAATGCTGTGTTGGAGCTCCTCTAAGCAAATTGACAGATTGGCGACGTCTTTTAGTTAATTTTCTTTACTAAACATTACTACCATACAGCGAAACTCTTGACAGATTGGAATAAAAGAAAATCCCCCATTTACCGAGGGAGAGATGTCTGACGAGATAGGTGACGAGTTCCGAGAGATGACTGTTAAAAAAAAAAAAACACTGTAAAAACACTCACTGTGCGTTTTTTCCACAGCGCCATTAACCGCCCGTTAAACGTCGCCCACAGGACATTGTGTCTAAAATGGAATAGAAATTGAGAGATAATTAACAGGAATCCATTGTTCATAGTGCGGCTCTCTGATGACGTCACAACGTGGATACCTTAAACCCTTCCAGGTGTCCAGCCAGCTGTTTCGGACCACAGAACCTTGTGGCACCGAGCCGCCTCTGCCCCCCTTCTTTCTGGACACCCTAATAGTGGCCGCTCTGAGGGGACATTTTAGAAATAATGATTTGTTAGTCTCATTCGATATTGAATATGTATTGTTCCAACAGATATGTTTTGTTTACACATCACCTTGGGATCTTCTTTTGTATTCGGTTCGAAACTCTCCTTGAAACCCCACCTGGAGCAGGGGGCAGGACTAGCTTCTTAGGGCCGGTGCTTCTGGACGTACTGTGTGTGTGAGACAATGCAGACGTTGAATGGCGTCGTAGCTACTGAGCAGTACGTCACGTACGTCGGCGGTCTCCACGAAACTCACGCCACGGCATGATCTTCTCCTTTTGATTCACTCGCCGCAGAGACCAATCCTGCGTCCTCCTCCTCCTCATTTGATGATTCCGTGTCAGGCTCGTCCACATCCCAACAGGCTAACGCTGGACAGGGGTTTTCACGGCTTATCACATTACCAGCATTTAAGACATTAGATATGATAAGTCCTTTATTTGTCCTGCAGTGAAGGTATTTCGTGTCTTCACAGCAGCACAGAGGATACGAAAAGAACGTACATCATAGCACGGCATAGCATTTTTAACTCTGTGTACATCAGGATTACCAATTTTTTTACGACTGGTTTTGTAGATGTAAATGACTGAAATACTGCAGGTACTCTATAGATAACTGTGAAATACTGCACGTTTGACAACTGCTACCATAAAACGTGAACAATACTGCACATACAAGAAACAGATATTGCACATACCATTCTCAGGTTGCTCTGCAGATCCCGCTACTGAAGGTAATGTGACTTTCGCATTGGGGTCCAAAGCTGATATGACCAGTTGTGACAGCTGTCCCACATCTGGACAAATGAAATATATGACACTTCTGTTTACTAGGTTTGGGTTCTGGTTGTGAAAGCTAAAGGCTCGTATCGGTGCCATCACACAGTTATCTCTCCTGGTAGGAGAAACCATAAAAATGGCTAAAGGTCAAAACAGAGATAATAAATTGAGACTAGTTTTCACCAGTCAGTGTGACCCTTGTGATCGTTTAAAGTCATGACAATGAGCCTTATGTCTGTTTATCACCTAGAAAATTCCATTTGGGTGATTACCTGTGTGGTCGCCGGCAGCTCCAGTCGTGGTTGGTACAGGAGGTAGCGGTTTGCCAGCAAAATAGGATGGGACGCTTTGGTTTGCGTTGTTAGTGTAATTTCCCATAAACATTGATAAGCTTGGGATGTTTGCCAATGAGCTAACAATGTTATCTAAGCTAGGAGAACTTGTACTAACGGGAACTCCGTACGGATCAGACGCTGGGGGATTCAATGTGGCTGTGTCTGGGTAAACCAAAGTACTGGCAGGGTCTACTGAACTAGGTTTGTGTGCAGCTACGCTGTTAGTCACGCTGCCTATGTAGGGCAGTGTTGAAGGAGCGGAGGGGACAAGGTGAGCAGAGTTAATAATGTCATCAACTCCGGCCAATGAGGGGATTTTGGCAGCGATCATAGAGGTGACACTGGCCAGAGATGGGACGTCTTGGCTGCAGTCTGAACCAGAGGGAGGTGGAGGACGCCACACATCTGGGGAGGAGTTTTAAAAAGACGTCATCAGTCAAACTGGTTTGACACAAACAACGCTTTACCATTTCCTTATATGAGACACAGAAATTGTTGACAGGAACAAGATTGATTGCAAAAATACAGCAAAAGAAATGGATTCACACTATGAAAAATACATAACACAACTCAAAACAAACTGTGCTCACAACACAAAGAACAACAAACACACAAAATGAAGACATCGGTACCTGCATGAACCATAACACAAATCTTTTGTTAAGGCATCACCTTTGCCTCTACAACGGGTATATATTACGATACAATGGAACTCCAACCTACGTGAGTTCAGGCCGTATCAATTTATGGATTTTTATGGGCTAATGAAGTTCATACCGCTAGCGGTCAATGACTTTTCTGGTAGGCTACTGTGTATTATACTAGTAGCGTATGTCTGTCTGTGAATGGCTGTGTGTAAAGTATATGTGTGTGTGGGGCGAGAGAGAGAGAACGGTAGCGAAAGTTGAGAGCAGTTTGAGCCCCGTCATGTTGAAGAGTGAGTTGGTTATACAGGAGCTGTTTATGTTCTGTTGTGGTCGGAGTGGCTGATAATAAAGACCCCAACTTCACTGTTTCTGTTTACCTCTGCTGTGGACAAGGACAAAGTGAAGGGAGTTAGCCCCGGAGCTAATGTTAGCTTCGGCCCTGGAGCAGATCACTAAGTCTCCTCTGTGAAATCCAGCTACGCTGAAGCAGGAAAGAGCTAACGTGTAACCAGCCGTGTTACAGGCACTATTCATCAAAAAAACGTGTATTTAATTAAAAGTGGAAAAAAAAAACTTTCTGTGTAAATATCCCATGTTACAACGTGGACACCTTGGGCTTATAGAGAAGTGCGGCCTATATATGTATTTCTTTTGAAATTTAGTGGTTTGCGGCTTATATTCAGGTGCGCTCAATAGTCCGGAAATTATGGTAATAGGTGTTAACTTGATGGCTAGACTCCTTCATCTACTTTGTTTGACAAGTTTTGATGAACACAAAAATCTAATTCAATACCTTTGGCGTCCATACATTCATCAGCAGTTGTTGCTGTGAAAGTGGTCTTCAAAATATCATTGAAATCCTTCACACAATAAGACACATCATGGCACACTTCTCAGGAATACAGGAGGTTAAACTACACCTGGTTTGTCTGGTTATGAGAAACCTGATGTATACATTATTTGCATCAAGACAACATGAGTGGAGTGATACAAAAAAGTATTGTCATAAAAAAGATGGAGTATCTACGACGCAGGAACAAGACACCATAGAAAACGAAGTAAAAGTAAATATGGCAAATATACAGTGTTTACCTTTGTTCAGGTGATCACCAGTAGCAACACCAGACTGGTTGTTTTCACCAAAGACACTGAAAATAAATCAGTTGTTTTTATAGTGAGACAGAAATGCCATTAGATCATAACAATCCATATCTTCAAAAAAGTAGGAAGAAGAAAATAGTTTTTGCCCCCCTTCCTTCCTTTTTTTTAGCTTTTTAGCTTCACATTAATAATGACATTTTTATAAATTGAATCACTTACGTTCCCAAATGCTGCATAATTGCTGTGCAATGCATTATACATATTTTTTATTGACTTCCACTAGCACAAGTCCTCTTTCCTCAACTTTTCTATTTTTTTTTCCCGCTATTATAATTTTATTGCCCTTAGAGGGCGAGAAAGAGTTGAGTAAAATAACATATTTTTTGCATTTCAGTACATCAATCATCACTTCAAAAGCAGATTCTAAAGATGGCTAAAGTGGCTTTTAATTATTAATTTCACTTGGCGTTTCAAGTAGCTTCTGGTCTTTACTTCCAATAGTGGAAAAGCTCCACACAGAAGACGGCGGAAGAATCGAAGACTTTCAAAATAAAATAAAACGCATGCAGTGTTTCTTTTAAAAGCACAGCACGGCACAGCGAAGCCCGTCCTTCTCTGCATTGTATGTTGCGTCCAGGTGTCTTTAGCTCTAGTCAAGTCAGTTTAATTTAACTTTATTTTTATTTCATTTGCACAGCCCATATTTATGGAGGAATGTATAGGCTATGCCGTCAATATTATTCATACCGAGTTATAACAATAACAATACTATACTAAGTGGAGCAGAATACGTTTTAAAACTAAAACCAAACTGAAAACCAAATTAAATCACACACTGAGCAGGAAATTTGGCAACAGGGAGAAAAAAAAAGTCATTTTTCACCGGAGGACTATAGCATTTACATTAGTCAGCTACGTTATCTATTAGCCACCTTGCTACAAAAACACAGCTACTTAAGGAGTAGTAAAGGTTTGTCGCCGATGTTATCTTCTGAAATCTAATTTGATAATATTAATAACAATAACAATAATAAAGAAACAGCACTCACACGTGTTACCCAGCTCAGCTACTGCTAAAGCTACTCATGACGTCAGTGTTCCTAAACGTGGTCTCACCTGTCAAAAGAAGAGCTGAGGCACTGACCGACCGATTTGTAACGAGCTCGAGGTTTGGGAACAGGTGCGGAAGGATCAGCCATCTACTCAACACAAGACATTTGAGAAAACGATACCACATTTAAGTAAAATTCACCTAACGTTGCAGTTAAACGGTTCCGTTTACCTGTAAAGAAAACACAGGCGTCTGTAATCCGTGTCTGTTCCTGGTTCACACGTTGATCTTGTAGATTTTCCTGCGCTCATAAAAATATCACAATCATTTTTTTTCCTGCGTACACCCCCGTGTCAGCGTGAAGTAACACTGTAAAACTCACTTTCACACAAAATAAAAAAAGAAGAAGTGAGGTTTTAGCTACAGCAGGCGAAATGATTTGAACATATCTCCAAAATATAACCCAGCCACACTATTTTACTTACTTTAATTTTTTTTGCTTGCTATAATATCTCTGCTGTTCTCATTAAACCCAGAATATCGACGCAACAAACGGAAAAACAACAAATGAAACCGTAAAAACCCACAAAAAGTGAAAATCTCCTAAGAGACGTTTGTTTGCTGTGATTATGTCATTTCCGAATCATCGACAAACAATCAGTCCAAAATGTGACTTACTTAAGTTTTTGTTCCTCTTTATCTTCTGTTGTTCCGTGTTCAAACAGTACCATGTGACAGGCTCTGATTCAGATTCAGAGCTGTTATAACTAGTATGTTGTACACAGTACACATACACAAAGAAGTGCCACTGGTTCAACCGGCTGCTGGAATCTAGGTGTGTGCGGTTATCTCCCGCTAGGTAATTGGATGGACTTCAATCAGGCCTGAGTCAGCAACAACCCCCCCACTCCCCCACCCGAAAAAAACAAAAATCAAAACAAAGCTGTTTTTAAAGTGCATTTCTACAAGATGTATTTTTGTTATTAACAATTTATTATTGACAGTTTTATTCTGATTTTATTTTGAAAATTAAAACAGGCTACTGTTCGCAATACCTTTTCCAAAAGGCCCAGATGTGTCGATATTATGCTACACTATACTATACTATGCTATGCTATAATATACTATACCTTACCTAACATACTACACCATGCTATACTATACTATGCTATGCTATGCTATGCTATACAAAAAACAGTATAGTATGGTATGCTATGCTATACTATTATACTTTACTATACTATACTTATACTATACTATACTATACTATACTATACTATACTATACTATACTATGCTATGCTATACTATACTATGCTATACTTTACTATGCTATATGATATGCTATGCTATGCTATATGTTACCACTAAACCATAGGCTACTAATACAGTGAATACGACACAACACAAATAACAATAATGACAGTACTTAAAGAAAGTTCCATCTTTGAGAAATAATAGATCTTGTTTAATAAACATTAGGTTCGCCATTGTATTTCAAGTTGTAATGGCCAGTTGAAATGGCCTATGCAATGATGCCCAACGGTTGACACCATCTTGTGGTACACTCACTAAATGTCTTTTTTTTACAGACGTTCTCCTCAGAGTAATAAAAGAAATCACTGATATTGCACTTTTCTTATTATGTCTAAAAAGTATTGTAATAAGTGGCGCTTTGGCCCAGAGGCAATGTCTCTGTCATTGGTGTGGAACCCCAGGGTTCACCTCCTGGACAAGTTCTAATCCCGATTTGGGCGGTTGGTACCTTCCAGTGGACTCACCACCTGCAGGAAGGTTCAGGGGGGTTGGTACGGTGCAATGTGATTTGGGTGGCACCTGCTGCCCCCGCGACCCGGTAACGGATAAGCGGATGAAAAAGGATGGATGGAAGTATTGTAATAGAATACAATATATGTAACCTTTGTGTGTAGTGTTGACGTTAGGGTGTGATGCAGAAGGATCATGGTGGTCAGTTTAAGACCATTTATTCCACCTTATGTAGATAAAGGAATCCCCTTTATCTATACAGGTATGGTGGGCTGTTTTTTTTTCACAATATATGGATAGAGCTCCCACTCCCACCTCCTTTCAATATGACACAGTTTCACTTTCAAGATTCTATTGACCTGATTGAAGACTTGGCTCTTTGCTTTCTGATCTTTTTTTCTATTGTCTGTCGCCTCATGAGAGGTCTAATTAGCCTGGGCATAGGCCTGTGACATACACTATATGACCAAAAGTATTGGCTCACCTGCCTTGACTCCTACTATGAACTGAAGTACCATCCCATTCCTAACCCAGAGTTCAATATGATGTCGGTCCACCTTTTGCAGCTATTACAGCTTCAACTCTTCTGGGAAGACTGTTAACAAGGTTGAGGAGAGTGTTTATAGGACTTTTTGACCATTCTTCCAAAAGCGCATTGGTGAGGTCACACACTGATGTTGGTGGAGAAGGCCTGGCTCTCAGTCTCCACTCTAATTCATCCCAAAGGTGTTCTATCGGGTTCAGGTCAGGACTCTGTGCAGGCCAGTCAAGTTCATCCACACCAGACTCCAGACATCCATGTCTTTATGGACCTTGCTTTGTGCACTGGTGCACAGTCATGTTGGAAGAGGAAGGGGCCCACTCCAAACTGTTCCCACAAGGTTGGGAGCATGGAACTGTCCAAAATGTTTTGGTATCCTGAAGCATTCAAAGTTCCTTTCACTGGAACTAAGGGGCCAAGCCCAGCTCCTGAAAAACAACCCCACACCATAATTCGTCCTCCACCAAATTTCATAGTCGGCACAATGCAGTCTGAAATGTATCGTTCTCCTGGCAACCTCCAAACCCAGACTCGTCCATCACATGAGCCAGATGGAAAAGCGTGATTCATCACTTCAGAGAACGCGTCTATCTATCTATTTAATTTGTTTGGATAATTGAAATGATACTAGTATTATGTAGTTACAGTAAAAGGGGTACTACCGTCAATCAGTTGAGTACAGCTTACAGCAAGCTGCCAAGTTACCACTAAGGTGCTCTGAGCATGGCACCGCCCCCTGCTCACTTTTGGTGATGGGTTGCAGAGGTCACATTTCATTGTGTGCAATGGTGTGCTGTGTCACAATAACAAAAAATTCACTATCACTTTTTTTGTTTTGTCTGTCTCAGACACACTTGGGAAAACAAATACGAAAGATGGGCTGGGCTTTATAATACAGCTCATCAAACAATTCTAAAACATATAGGCTTAATTCCTTCTGTTCATGCATTATAATGATTTATTGTAATTTCAAATACAATGTCACTTTTTGGCAGCAACATCAAATGTGCCAACTTTTCTTTGAGGTTTAGGTTTAACCATGTACATATTATTCACATACATACCTATTACATATCATATACATATCAAATACATATTATTATTCATATTATTTCACCCAAACATTCTACATCCAACCAATTCAACAGAATTGAATTCTGAAAAAAAAATTGAACTTACATCTTGCCCTTTGAGCCTAAAAGGTTGCCTTCTTGTGATCTAAGACATTCATCGATGTTGAGGTGGAATCCTCAGGTCATACTATTTTCAACTCAGAGACTATAAAGGCACTGATGAGTTCAAGGACTAATCGAGTCCTCATCATATAGTGTTAGAGGTTAGATCTTCATCATTACACTTTAATAATACATATATATACAATTATGTTTAAATATACAGTGGTCCCTGTCCTATCGCGGTGGTTGCGTTCCAAACCCACCACGAAAAGGGAAAAATCCGCAAAGCAGAGGCAAGTTATTATTTACGTATATATTTTTACACTTTACGAACCTCCCCCACACTGATATCTACCTTCCTTAGACTGTATTACCCTTTCCCACACAATTATGTGTACAATAGAGTTGTATAAGAGAGAGAATCAAAGCTGTTTAATGAGATTTTTGTGTGTGTGTCTTTCTTCAATTCCTGTGAGTATTTCAGCATTGTGTGCACACTTAGGGAGTAAACTGTGTGTGAACCCGAATCTAGATCATTTTATTTCATTAAAATACTTTATGTGACATTTTTATAGTTGGTGATACTCCACAGCTCAAGAAAAGGATGGAAAAGGATGGCAGAAGAAATGAATACCTTCCTACTTGGTAGCAACAGATCACTAGTAAGTAAATAGTAATTGAAAACTAGAAGATTATTGTAAATAATAAAAAAAGTATGTGTACTGTTTTATGTATCTCTGGGGACAAATGTTCTGAACAGTAGAAATAGCGCTCAGGTCACAAAGACTACACTACCCACAGTGCACTGCGATATACGACGGACCGCTTAAAGTTAAACCTGCGTGCACAAACAACCACAACACAGTATATCACCGACAAAATTTTTTTTTTTTTTTTCAACAGCTCAGCAGAAAGTGACGGGACGGAACAATTGTGGATTTCTGGGTTTCATTGTATATCACTAACCTGATGAGACATTTAGAATCTGTTCCAGCCTGTTTAACTCCTAAGATTAGGAATCCCTCAGTCTGATTTCGGCCATTATTGAGTCTCCAATTGTTCGGACCCCATGGTGTCTCGGTCCAATTTAAGGACAGAATTATGGGGCTCCTTCCTGCTTCGCTTGCTTATATACTGTCGGGGCACGTACACACTCATCGAACTTACATGTTGCATACCTCGCTAGAGAGCGCTCCTGAGCCATGCGAGGGCGAATCTCTTTGTTGATGTGTTTTACTTGTTTTCCTTGGACTTGTTTTTCTGGGTCTTATCACAGTTATACGCTATTGCAGTCGTTGCAGGGTGTTACTACAGATAACTAACCCCCTAGGTTACAGAATAAACACTGTGAATTGCTGGTCCGGCAGCATAAAATATCCCAGTGGAAGCGCGCAATATGGGAGAGCTCTGCTTTATTGTTCCATCATGGGACAGGGAAAACTTGCGTTTGGTGTTGAGGTTGAATGGTTATCTGTTGTTATCCTTATTCAAACATTTAGTGGGCCCTGTCATAATTACAGATGTTTGGAAATACGTGTAGTTATTGGTTATGTGTTCTTGTTGGGCCAAATCATGTATATATTTTTAATAATCACATTATATTGGGCAATACTCTATTGTCATCCCTGTAATAATGAGTAGTGATGTGCGGATCGATCCTGAAATATCGATACTTCCGATTCTGAAATCGATTCTGAAATCAAAATATCGATACTTCTGATAACTTACGCATTCTGAGATGAGGTGTATCCTAAACAGAAACACGGTGAAAAGTATCCAAATTATTGAGATGTTGTCTAAGTGACGCTCGGTTGGTGGGACTACTTCTTCTTCCGCCTGGGTGTGTGCGTCGTGCGTAAGCACAGGGGCTCTACTCCGTGCTCTCACTCTTTTGGCTTCTTTTTTGGGTTCTTTTGGCTCGGTTCACTGAACAAATCCGACTCTTTCGGGTCCCAAATGGCTCCTCAGATTATTTATTTTATTTTTTTATTTATTTTTGTTTCACAAATAACATGTTTTCAGAGTTTGAAACATTGTTTTGACATATTTTATATGATTGTGTTCTCAGGTTTTTCTATTGTTGTGTTGACTGTATAGTAAATGAGGCAGCTACCTCAGTACACTCCAGAGTTTAAAATAAATAAATAAATAAAAAACTAAGCCTTGGATTCTTAAAGAAGCTATGATTTGAAATATAATATATACCAGCCCGAATTTTACTCGGTATCAGATCGGAAGGGAAATTGTTGGTATCGAACATCACTAATAATGAGCTCATTCGTCTGTCCAGTCACTGGGGTGGTATTTAAGAGGTCAACTTGGGGATGAGGGAGTGTGGCTTTGACTAAGTTTAGAGGTAAACAGAATGGGAAGTAGCATCTTGCCCCAGCTGGTAGTGAGGCTGTGTGTATTTTGATAAATTTATTGATGCCTGTGATGGCTGTTTTCTTTTTTCAAATGGTTATACATCTTGTTTGGCTGATACTTTTTTTTTTAAATAAGTTGTTATTTTGGCAGTTGTTAAGAGATCACTTTTTCAGGTTTCTACATAACAGGCATTAAAAAAAAGTTGGGTTTTTTTCTCTCTCTCTTACAGAGACAGTTTATATAATGGGTGGTGGCAACCGAAAAATAATCAAATTGACAGCTACTCAGTTTTCCCTCCGCTGAAGGAAAAATGTTTAAGCACCAGCACAGATACACGCAGAAGGAAAAGTGATTTTGCAGGACCTTTATGAGAGTTTTCCACTGACTTTGCTTTAAAGTGTGGTGAGCAGATCATTTCCTGTCGGGGCTGAGGGGAGGAGGTGGTAGATTAAAAACAGACGTTTCTTCTGTCTGTCTGTCTGTCTCTCTCTCCCTCTCTCTCCCTCTCTCTCTCTCTCTCTCTCTCTCTCTTTCTCTCTCTCATACGCCTTTTTTCTCTCCTCTCTCCCTCTCTTTCTGTCTCAGTGAGTCAGTCTGTTTCCATTCGTCTTCTTTCAGGAATGAGACTGAGGACACAAGAGGTAGAAAGGAAAAGAACGAGACGAGGGGAAGTGGGACGGAAAAACAAGCAACTGCATCAACAGGTCTGATAAAACAAAATCTTCTATTTTTATTTTTCAGTGTCGGGAATAATAAGCATTAATTATAACAAACATTACGTTTTTTTTATTGCTAGGATCAGTAGCACAGTACTAAAACGATACTACTCTGTATTACTTGCAACACAGCACCCAAACTTCTTTTCTTTTTTTTTCTTTTTTTTTACAGAGAACTTTATCACATTGTACTTATATAGTCTACCACCACATACACCAAATTATTCTACTGCATCCTGCACTGCACCGTGCTACATAAAACCTACATTTTGTACTCACAATGCGCGAGTAATGCTACCATTTTATCCTTACAGCGTACTAACACTAGTACAACATTTGTATGGCTATAAGTTTACGATACAAGTCTTGTAATCCCGGGGTTCAAAGTTTTAACAAACACAAGTACAAATCTGTGTCTCCACCAATGACGAGGGATTTGATGTGAGAGAAAAATGGGGGAGGTAA